CCACTCCTGATAAATGTGTTTTCCAACCACCATACTCCTCCCCCTCCTCATCTGTGATCTGCAGAAAATAATATTGACTCCATAAGAGCTAATGTAACATGTGCGAACATCCTGAGTAAGCTGAAGAGGATTATACAAATACGCGGAATGATTTATTCTGAGAGTGGAAGCGGTGGGGGCACCAAACAGAAGGACCAGGGAGCTCACTTTTGGGGGGGATCCTGCATCCGCCCTGAAGGGGGAATGTGACCAGAATTTGTTCAACCTACTGAGTTTCCTGAAAGGAGACTCTTATGCCCCCACCCCAGCAAACCCAGTGTTGAACTAAAATATTAGCCTAGAGGAAAGTTGGCTTGAAGAGGGGCAGCATCCATCTTGGAATGTCCTTATCTCATTTCCATAGTCACCGGAGACAGCTGGAAAGATAACCAGATGTTCAAACATCTCTTCCTTGCTCTCGCTCACTTGCTCGCTCGCTCTATCTTTTTTTGTAAATTGAATTTAAAGGACCCGTTTCTTAGCAACAGCAGCAGTCAGTGGTTACGAAGTCCTCCTTGGCCATTTCAATGCCCGGGGTTTCAGTAAGCAGATGAACCTCTCACTACCAGCTGGGGACTGGGGAGAGATAGCAGGGCCATGATGAAAGTCAGCAATCTAGTGTTCCATTTGTGTGTGTGTGTGTGTGTGTGTGTGTGTGTGTGGTGTTCCCAAAGGACCTAACATGAGGGCAGTAGGGCCCTTAGAGCCATCTTTGGCTCTGGGGTGCATGATGATGACAGCTGGATTTCCCTGGGCTTAAGGCTCAGTGTGGCTGCTCCAGCTCTGTTCTGGGGAAGCTGTTATCATGGATGGTGTGGTTTTGTGACAAAAGCGCTAGATGAAACCTCAGGAAACTCAGGTCTAGTCTCAGCAACATTGTAGTCTTACCTTAGATGAGTCATCAAACTTACCTGAGCCTCAGCTTCTGCACCTGACAGGAAGGTCGTAACACCCACTTGGCCACGCTGAGGGACAGAAGAGGTCAGGGCATGTGGAAATTCCTCAAAAGGCACAAGGAACGATGACGATGTCAGGGGTTAGACATCTCTTTTCTCTGGCCTGGAATGCTTACTCCTCCCTCCCCTAGAGGAAGTGAAACTAGATCCTGGAAGCACTAGGATGTCTCTAGGCTTGTGGGCAAAAATTATGGGAAAGGGGGGTCCTACCTGGGAAAGGAGAGGAGACAGCCTCTCTGTACAGATCTGGAGTCATAGCAGTGAAGGTGCTTTGAAGACACAGAAGGACAGAATATTGGATGTTAAGGACCCTTAAGGCCTTTTATTCTAAAGTCTTTTAATGCTTAAATCCTTGACTACTGAGGTTGAAAACCAGTGGTCCACGGGTCAGATATGGCTCCACAGTGTTTTGTAATTTCTCTAATTAGTTACTAACAGTTACAAATTAGCAGACTGCATATAAAAATCATGATTTCCAGTTCCTTTGAATAATCAGAAGGAGTGATTTGCTCATCGTTCATCTAGAGCTGAGCAGAGGCTGCTCCATTTTGATGGGACAAGCACTCTCTGGTTTGTCATTGTCCCCACCATTCCCAGATGCCTTCTAACTGGGCCTCTTTGCTCACCTCATACCAACCTGATTCTTATGGACATCTGAGTTTGAAATCCCTGATTTACTGGACATCCGAAAAATGGGGATACTAAGAAAATCTACCCAAAGTAGTTACAAGTAAGTTGAAATAAAGTTATTTCCCTGGCACATAGAAGGGTTTGAAAAATATTGGTTTCCATACCCCTTTTAAAGCTTTCAAGACTTTGAGTCATTTGTATTAGTTGGTCAATCATAGGGGCCTAGAATGAGTCTTTCTAAAGGACAACCTTTGTTTAAGCACAAATTCCTTCTGCAATTCATTCATTCATGTAGGCATTACTATATCAGGGGCTGTCTCCAAAAGGTGCAAGTTTAAGGCTTGGCTACTTATGATGTGGATGACCTCGGGCAAACCTTTGACATCTGAGTTTCCCCATCTGAGTTTCATTATTTCATTGATTAATTCATGCATGCAGACATGCATTGATTTATTTGTGTGCTAGGCATCATGATACTAGGTGGTGAGGCTTCAATGATGCATAAGACACAGCCAAAAGAAAGTGTTGGTCCTGTTTCCTAGAGCAGAGGCTGAGGTAGGTATTTGGATGCACGTGAATCATGGAGGGAGTGCTATTAGGAAAAGCCTTTAATGAAAGGAGTAAAACAGGATAGTGAAGGAGGAAAAGTCAATGTGAAGTCTTGCCTAGGTCTGATCCATGAGGATAATGGAGCCCTGAATTGTAACTCAGACTGCAGCCCTCTCTTATCCATTGGGAAGAGGAGTAACCTTTTATACTTCTATGTCAATCAGGCACTGCCTGTGGACTGTATTCTCTGGGAAGAGTTGTATAACCTCTGAGCAAAGCAACACTGCCCATCAACTAAGGAAGAGCTGCTGGAGAAAGGGGGCAGCTGCGAGCTATTAGTAACCAACACTCACAGCGGTTGGAAGATGGGTGCCCTGCTTGTAAAAGAGGATCTCTGCAAGGCACCAACAACATGTAGCACAACCCACCACGTGCACCTCTCAGATTCTTTTGATTCTCACATTCAGTTCACTCCACCTGGTCTCAGCTTCTCTAGAATTCTGTGGTTACACTTCTGAGGAAACCTACAAGAGGAGAATTAGTGGGGTGCACTATATCTATTGCTGTAGTTGCTCTCAAGGCCAATATTGATCATCAATATCGTCTTCCTCTACTACCTGCTTTAGATTTTTCATATACTTGGCTAGCACTTCTGCTGGGCTGGGTGGCTTGCCTAGTGGGGTGACCCAGTCAATCACCTCTAAGGGGCCTGTGCACCTGGTTACTAGGTCATGGTTGGTTATGTATAGATAACATTGGGCACAGGAGTACCAAGGCACAATCCAGTGGATGTGGATCACTTGAATTCCAAACACATTTCTCCATGGTCTCATGTGGCAGCAAGCCACACTTCCTTATGATGTTCAGGGCCAACAACCCCTGACACTATGGCAACCCTTCCTGTGCCTACTGATTTGCTAACCCAAGAAGCAGTGGTAGTAGCTAGATCAATCTTGTTGAGAAGTCTATGCTATTGAGTTCATGCATAACTCAATCTCTGCCATTATGATTATTTTGTTTATGGGCTCATTGTGCAAGACAACAGTGGCCAAGAACTGAGACTGGCTAATATTGCCTGGCTAAGTCATCTTGTCTAGTCTTTCACAGTGGATGCTCTCTGGTGTGTGTTCACATACAATACAGAGACATATGTGTCCATTCCCATGGCCCATTCACACACCTCTACCTAAGACTTCCTTGTTCCTGATCTTCAGCCTTGTTCATTTCAGACTCTTGACTTACAGGCTATAGCATTTGCCACTTCCCACTAGTCTATGTATATTCCTACCTCAGGCTACTTTTCTCTCTGCACAAAGTGGATGACCAGGTGACCAGGTACATTGTCTGAAGCTCTTCCCATTTCAAGAATTTCCCCTCCCCACTGTCTTTCAGGTGACTAGGTGCATTGTCTGTCTTTCAGAGCCCCCCTGAGTGGGGCTGGAGTGCAGCAATTTCCATTTTCAGCTTGTGCCAAGATCTAGGATCAAAACTTGAACTTTTCCTTTCTCCATTGGCTGGTCGTGGGGACCCTCCATGGTACCATATGTGAGCTGAGGAAGACATTGACACAAATGTGTTTGGTGACATAGAGTATGAGCCACCTGTTTGTTCAGTTACTTCTTCCCTCTGCATTTGTCTGAACTTGATCTTGGATCTTCCACTTCTATGTTCGATGTATTGTTGGCTTTTCGACTTAGCAGTGGGGCTGAATTCTGAATGAGGTGCAGTTCTGGTCTTATGGTTACCTGGAGTCCCATGATCAAATACTCTTGTCTCTACCAGAGTCTTTTCCAGCAGCATGCTAGAAGCTGTTTTTGGAACTGTGTATACATCTCTGTGGCAGATGGCATGGTTTTGTTCTAGAATCCTATAGGTCCACCTGTGACTCTGCTGTTAGGACTTGCAGAAATTCTACATGATGTTTTTTTTTTTCTACCACAAATATCTCTGATACTATGGAGTCTACTGGATCATATGGCCTGATAGAATTTGGCTCTGTGTCCCCACCCAAATCTCATCTTAAATTGTAATCCTCATGCGTCAAGGGAGAGACCTGTAATCCCCAAGCAACAATGGAAGGAGGTGATTGGATCATGGGGGCAGTTTCGCCCATGCTGTTCTCATGATAGTGGGTTAGGTCTCACAACATGATGGTTTTCTAAGTGTTTGGAAGTTCTTCCTTGACTCTCTCACCTGCTGCCCTGTAAGACGTGTCTGCTTCCCTTTCCACCATGATTGTAAGTTTCCTGAGGCTTCCCCAGCCTCGCAGAACTCTGAGTCAATTAAATACCTTTTCTTTATAAATTACCCAGTCTCAGGCAGTTCTTTAGAGCAGCGTGAGATTGAACTAATACATGGTCCAAGTAGAAATACTGCTTGAATCACAGCAGTTGCAGTACGAGGCAACTGAATCTGTTGCCTAGTACTTTCTTACTCTGGGCCTCACTCAAAACTAGGAGCCTCTTGAAACACTGGGCAAACAGGTTGGAGCAATATTCCCAAGTGTGAAATATGCTACCTCTGATGTATTGTGCTTCTTTCTTAGTGGTAGAAGGTGGGCACACTAACTTGTTCTTTATTTTGGTTGGGGGGTTCTCAGCATCCCCAAGACCTTGAGACCTCTAAAAACAATAACTGGCAGGTTTCTGGCTCTTTGTAGGATTGACCTCCTGCTTTTGTAAGTACTTGTGTCTCACTTGTTACGCCTTACTCAGTAAGGCCTGATTTATGTGATGTCATCAGGGGTGCCATCAGCATGACCTTTGTGATGCTCTGTGGAATGTCCAGATGGCCCAAGCCCCTCTGGATATATTATGACAGAATCAAGGAGAATTAACAGACCCCCAGGGCAGCACTGAGTGAATACTGCTGTTCATCCCATGGGTATGAATGTGAACTGTTTTAGATATTTCCTTCTGCTGGACACGGAAAAGAAAGCATTTGCCAGATCAATAGCTGCATACCACTTACCTCCAACTATGTTAAGTTGTTCTGGGTAATTCCCACATCCAGCTCAGAAGCTGTACATGGGTTACTAATTGGTTAAGTTTGTCATAGTTCACTGTCATCTGCCATGACAGGGGCCAGGCTAGTGTATTAAGTGGGACATACGATCTGGACCATCTCCTCTGCATTTTTTTGTTTTTGTTTTTGAGATAGGGTCTTGCTCTGTTGCCCAGGCTGGAGCGCGGTGGTGTGATCTTGGCTCACTGCAACCCCTGCCTCCTGGGTTCAAATTATTCTCCCGCCTCAGCCTCCTGAGTAGCTGGGATTACAGGCGTGTGCCACTATGCCTGGGTAATTTTCATATTTTTAGTAGAGATGGGGTTTCACCATATTGGCCCCACTGGTCTCGAACTCCTGACCTCAGGTAATCCGCCTCCCAAAGTGTTGGGATTACAGGCGTGAGCCACCATGCTCGGCTTCCTCTGCATTTTTTGTCTTTGAGGTGACGCTAATCTCTGCCATTCCCCTAAGAAGTGATAATGTTTTTGGTTTACCCTCTTGGCCCAGGGATAGGGGCATCTTCAAAGGCTTCCATTTGACCTTTTGTAGTACAGGAGCTCCTAATCTACTGGTCAAGAAACTATGGTGATGTTCTGCCAACTGGTAAGTATATATGTTGCAATCATATATTCTGGAACTAGAAATGATCTTGCAGTTCTTGGTCCAGGACTCCATTTTTTACCTGACCCCATATGCCTCTACTACCATGGAGGAACCATGATGAGGTTTTGGGTCTCAGTGTCTCAGTACCAGTTTAGATCCTGTATCTAACATCCCTCAGAAGGTATGGATTTTCCATTTCCCCATTGTAATTACCCTTTCTCTTCAGTTAATGGCCATAGATCCAATTGGAAATAACTAGTATACGTATTTACTGTGGCATTGCAGAGGTCTTTCTTATGGGGACCTAGCCTCCTTTTCAGTTGATGGGTTCAGGATGTGAGAGGTGGTTTAGATCTGGAAACTGGACATGGGACCATGACTTTCCAATGGGGTTTCTAATCTCAGTCTCCTGCTTATCCATTCTTGAACTCTTTTGATTCTATATATTAAATGATACCCTGGTTGGAAACTGAGAATGTCATTTTATTAGCTATTTTCATCAATTAGAGGTTAGCAAGCAACTTCTGTAAAGGGCCAGATAGTAAATATTTTAGGCTTTGCAGGTCATAGAATCACTTTTGCAATTACTCAACTCTGTCATTGTAGTACAAAAGCGGCCATAGATAATATGCAACAAATGGGCATGACTGTGTTCAATAAAAATTTATTTATAAAAACAGATTGTGAACAGAATTAGACCTGCAGGGCTGTGGTTTGCTGATACCTGCCATAGATGTCTGCAGGTCAGGGCCCTACTTTCTTGGCTGCCATTCCAATTTAGAAGCACACAGGGTAAATCCACTGACTTTGCTTTTGAAAGTCAAGTGCCACCACCATGTCTCAGCTACATCGTAAGTTTAGCACCCTCATTGCCACTAGGGATCCCAGTTCTGTAGCAACATTTCCAACTCTGTCCAAGCCTACTGAGGACAGGCAGTACTGAGTCTATTGGCAGTGCCACTGTCCCCTCACCAGTGCACTCCTTATCCACTGGGAAGATGGCATGTACTCTGGGCCCTCCAAGGGCCATAATTGGCTAGTGTTCTAATCCCAGTCTCTAGCTCATCCATTCTCCATCTCTCCTTTGACAATTTATTAAGGTAAAATTCAAGTAACATTAAATTAAGGATTTTAATGTGAACAATTCAGTGGCATTTAGTACATTCACAACGTTGTATGACTATCATCACTAATTCCAAAACACTTCCATCATTCCACAGTAGAACCTCCCATCCATTAAGCAGTTTTTCTCCCCACTTCAGCCCGTAGCAACTGCCAATCTTCATTTTGTCTCTCTGGATTTATCTATTGTAGATATTTTACATAAATGGAATCATAAAAGATATGACCTTTTATGTCTGTCTTCTTTCACTTAGCATAATGTTTTAAGGTTTTATCCATGTTGTAGCCTGTATCAGTACTTCATTCCTTTTTATAGCTGAATAATATTTCATTGTGTGTGTATATATCTTGATATTTGTACATCTATATCTATACATCCCAGCTTATCTATTCATTCATTGATGGACATTTGGTCTGTTTTCACTTTTGGCTGCCGTGAGTAGTGCTATTACGAACATACATGTACCTACACTTTTTGGTACCTGTTTTCAATTATTTTGGGTATATATCTAGGAGTGGAATGGTAGGGTCATATGGCAATACTATGTTTAACTTTTTCGGAAATTGCCAAACTATTTTCTACAGTGGTTGAACCATTTTTCATTCTCACTAACGATGTACAAGAGTCGCAACTTCTCCACATCCTTGCCAACACTTGTTTTTTTTTATTATAGTCCTCCTGGTGGGTGTGAAGTGGTACCTCACTGTGGTTTTAATTTGCATATCTCAAATGACTAATGATGTTGAGCATCTTTTTCGTGTATTTGTTGGCTATTTGTATATTTTCTTTGGAAAAATGTGGATTCAAGCACTTTGCCCATTTTTTAATCAGGTTGTCTTTTCTGCTATTGACTTCTAAGAGTTCTTTATGTATATTTTGGATACTGGACTCTTATCAGATATATGATATATGCAAATATTTTTCCCATTGTGTGGGTCATCTTTTCACTTTGTTGATAATGTCCTTGGTTGCAAAAACAATTTTAACTTTGGTAAAGCTTTTGTTGCTCTTGTCTTTGCTGTCATATCTAAGAATCTATTACTGATTCAAGGGTATAAAGATTTACCTCAGGGGAATTTTACAATTTTTTTGCCTTATATTTAAGCAGTTAATTCATTTGAACTAATTTTTATACATTGTGTGAGGCAGGGGTCCAACTTCATTCTTTTGCATGTGGATATCTAGTTGTTCCAGCGTCCTTTACTGAAGGGACTGCCCTTTCCTCATTGAATGGTCTTAGCACCCTTTTTGAAAATCGATGGGCTATGAAAGTATGAGTTTATTTTTGGACTCTCAATTCTATTCCATTGGTTTATCTGTCTGTCTTTATGATGGTACCACATTGTTTTGATTACTGTAACTTTGCAGTAAAATTTGAAATTGGGAAGTTTGAGTCCTCCAACTTTGTTCTTCTTTTTCTTTTTCTTTCTTCTTTTTTTTTTTTTTACATGTAAAGCAATTTTATTTTTGTTTAACCTTAAGTTTGCCAATTTTTTTCCCTGAACAGCATTTGTCTTGTTTTGATACCCACCTACACTCATATTAGAAATGTAGTGCAAACTAGTTGGTGATTCCACTTTGAATTTATAGTCATGTGACTAGGATGTTTTGAATATATGTTCTTCTTTTTCAAGATTGTTTTGATTACTTTAAACTGCTTGTAATTCCACAAGAATTAGAGGATTGGCTTTTCCGTTTCTGTAAAAAAGGCCATTGGGACTATGATAGGGACTGCATTGAATCTCCATCTCTTTTGATTCTATAGATTAAGCAATACTCTTGTTGAATCATGGCAACATCATGTTGTTATTAACCAACACCATATATCAGGGGTCAGCAAACTTTTTCTGTAAAAAGCCAGAAAGTAAATATTTTAGATTTTGAGGGCCATATGGCATTATATAATAATATAAGAGTCTCTGGACTCCTCTCACAGTCTGTGTAGCAGCTTCCAGAAGCCATCCCAGCAATGTATTAGAATCATCTCCTGGAGTCATTGCCAGGGTGTTAAATCCTGTGATAAGAGGTATGCCCCTATATCAACAAAATTTTTCTTATCCAGCTTTATATTCAGTTTCTCCTCTTGACTCGACACCTTCAGCATCCACTTCCGTATACACTCTCCTGGTTTCTGCCGTTTCCTATTAGCCAGGTCTTATAGTTCCTTTGCTGCATAATCCCTCTCTTCCCTTAGTAGGTCAAGCACTTGCCCAGTGAAACCAGGCTGTGATTTGGTCGTGGTTATGGCTCTGGTGGTCAGGAAGGGAGGCAGGGATACCTCGTGAAGAGGGCTAGCATTGTGCTCTAAGGAACTTGCCTCATTGAGGCTTCTGTGCAAACTTAAATCAAGTCAGGGGGCAGGGGAGGATTCTTCCAACAATGAGGGGTGAGCATTTTTTGCAGGCCCAGGGAGTCCAGGAGGATTTGGAATTGAAGAGTTCAAGTGTATCCCATGTAGATATCTTTCTCTCAGACTTCAGGGTCTCACTTCTTCCCATTAGGACTTTGACTTGGTGTATGAGAATTGTCAGGTGGAGAAGGCAACTTTCTCTGAAGTTCTGCTACTCTGACAATTATATCCTGTGTCCAGACCTTACCTGGGTCTGCCGTCCAATTGCAAGAGATCAGGTTCCCTTTAAATGCTGTTGAAGAAGCTCTCTGCCTCTCACAATTGCTTTACACTGATGCCTGATTGTCCTGAGCTTGTCATTTTCTCTCTTCAAAGCATCTGTATTCAGCAACAACCACCCACGTTGACGATCCTTCTACTGACTCTTTCTCCATTGTCTCTCAAACTTCTGAGGTACCACATGAGTCTGTGTACTTCCCACCTGTGCCCCATCCCTGCCAGCACAGGTGAAAGTCTCAGCAGCCACACAGCTGCCCCCTGCTCTGGACGCCCAGTTCTCCACCTGCCACCAGGCCTGTGAGTGGCCCATCCCGGAATCCCATCCTTGGATCTGCTTCTTAAGTCCACTTCTGGCACCAACTGCCTTGGGTTGGGTTCCCTGAGCTTGAGAAGGGGTTCAGGTTCCCACGATTTATTGAGAGAGTGCTCTTCAGAAAAAAACCTGGAGAGGAGGAAGTAAATTAGGATGGGGAAGGGGAAGGAGCTGAGCAAGGCAGAGTCCAGGCTTGGCCTGATCCATGGTGGGGGGCTGTGGAGTATTAATCACTCTGCAACGTCATCTGCTCTTGAAGCAAGGGGGCCAGACTTTTGTACCCCTCTATCAGTCAGGGGTTGTGGGTGTCCATCCCTAGGGTGGGAATAACCTCCCTGGCAAGGTAACTTCCGTCAGCTCAGAGTAATTTTCTGGAGAAGGAGCAGCTGTGAATTGTTATCATCTGGGAGTGGGTGGACCCGGTAAGCATCCACTGCAGAGAGAATGGCATATTCTGCTAGCAGCAGCAATTTCAGTAGGGCTGGGGCCTGCAAAGTGAGGCATCCAGGTGGTGGTAGTACTTGGACCAGGGTAGCTTGCCATGGGGGTGGCGAGAAATAGTTGGTTTTCAACACACACACCCATAAACTCCCCCCGGCCACACACATAGAGGGGGTCTCATTCTCTTACCCAGGCTAGAGTGAAGTGGTGTGATCATAGGTCTCTGCAGCCTTGATCTCCCAGGCTCAAGCGATCATCCCACCACAGCCTCCCGAGTAGCTGGGACTACAGGCGTGCACCACCACACCCGGCTCATTTTTTTTTTTTTAATTTTTAGTAGAGACAAGGTCTTGCTATGTTGCCCAGGCTGGTCTTGAACTTCTGAACTCAAGCCGTCTTCCCACCCAGGCCTCCCAAAGTGTTGGGATTACAGGTAGGAGCCACTGTACCCAGCCTGAATATATTTTTTAAAATGACTTTATTGAGATATAATT